GAAGGTGAAATGCTCAAAGCCTGATGCTTATACCGTCAACGCGGAATTCATAAATTTGCGAAGACACCAACAATTTTATGATCCGTGCTTGTTGATAGTGTCATAGCGTGTCAACGAGTGCAATGCAAACGCGCTGTTTACCAAGGCCCGCTTCGGACTGAGCAAATTTCCCAGCAATTACATTGCTGCTGACAAGTTTCTGCCTAACTTTTCCTAGATCTTAAATGAAGTTGCTGAGAGACATTTTCCCGTCAGAAGCGGCCTAACAGAGCTCCGCGTTTTCCCGCACAAGGTATGAACACCGCTCCGAAAGCAGTGCTACCTCAAGGGCGTGAAGTCAGGTCCGCGCCTTGGTGTATGCGCCGAGACACTCTGAGAGAGGACGAAACGAGAGCTCGAAGGCCCGACAGAACTCCGAACTCTGATTGGAATGATTAGTGGGTAGACCTAAAGGGTAGCTTTGTTTCCATTGGATTCGATTAACGTGTTTGAGTGCGACGGTCAAACGCCGGACTCCGGCAGTCCGCGTTCCACGAGGTGCAGTAAAAACATTGAAGGAGTTTTTCCCTTTGTTTTTCCTTAAAGATCCCAATTCAGAAACAGAAACTAATGGTGAATACTTGTGGTCGCCTCTCTCCTCTGGCCTTGATTCAGTGGAGCGTCCCCTCGCCGTAAGAGCTCCTCTGGATCCTTTTCAGCCGATCGCAACTGCTCGGCTCAGAGCGCTCTGAGATTCTCGGACCAGTCACGGAAGTAACAAGTATTTACATCGGTAAGAGATAAAAGAAGATTTTAAAGCGTACCATGGACGATTGTGCAAAATTTACTTACTCAACGTGATAAAATAGCGGATGTGACGGACTATAGGCTGCTCTTCGCGTCAGTGCATTAAAAGAAAGGAACAGTATGCGCAATCCTCTCCGTAGAAAGGAATGAACGCCAGTGTTTGAAAATAGTTGTGAACTCATCGCGTTTTGGACAGTGAATGCGATGCAATAGCAGTCACGCGTACGGCATAACAGGCAAATATCATATGGCTCCTCGTGGGACCCGAGAAAAATCCGGCATAGGAATTAAAGATTAAATAACATTAACTGCTTCATTAGGGGTTAGTTTGAGCATTTGTGATTTTTTTTTGCATTATTAGTATGCAGGTTCAGTAAAAATTGATGTCCACCCACATGGACAGTGGGACTTTACACTTCAAGTCAGGAAAATGAACACAAACTTTATTCAACATTTTTTTTTAGTTAACTTTTCCAGGTTAGGCTTTGGGAGGAGAAATAAAAAAAAACTGGAGCGGTACCGGCAAAGAAATGACTCATTTCTTGGTATGAAAATCAAAGAAGCAGTGCCGGTCAGTTTCAATGCAAAGGTAGATGTCACAGGACGTGCAACGGTGCCGAGTCTTCTTTGAGCAGCCAGGGTTCCTGCACCGTGCAGCGTTCTTGATTATTCTTTCTTTGGCATGTGAAGTGCCTGTGACGTCCGGACTGGCAAGCTTGGCAGCGGCTTGACTCTCTTGCGTGGAACTTCAACCGTGTCTTCATCGCTGGAGTTTGAATCCTCTTCAAGTATGGTACAGAGAAGTGACACAGCCACACTTATTTTGAATTCGATGTACTGCATGGCAGGTTGCTTCAGATACTTCTTGTTTGCACGGTACTCAAACCATGCATTCACGGAGGCCAGGTCAACGAGGTGAATCATCGTCCTGAGGGTCCATCTTGAGGTACGGCGACGATGGCTGTAAAACGACATCATCCTGTCGCAGAGGTCAACGCCTCCCATTTTTTCGTTGTACTTTTGGACCACCATTGGACGAGGGACTGCGACCTTTCTGTGCTCCTGCTTACTCTATCGCTGGCATGTACCAACGGGTTCAACACCAAATGCTGTGGATGCAAGTGTGACTGCCTTTTTGTCATACCACTTGGTTATGGAGAGACTGCCATCGTGTTTCAGAACAGCATCTGACTTCCCACGAGATTCTTTTGCTAATTCCTTGTCTGAAGCCAGATCTGCTGTTTTCGGGATCCGATTCTTCATTATCGTTCCAGTTGCGAATATCTTCTTCCTAAGCAGTGTTCCGAGAAGTGGTACAGACGTGAACCACCGATCAAAATAAAGTGTGGAATCCTGTGGGATGGTTTGGCACAGATGTACGACGGAGTTTCCTGACACCCCAAGTCCATACATAGTCTGGAAAAGTAGATTTTCCTTGGTACAGATGAAAATCGTAAACCAATCCATCCTGTCCCGCAAGGACGAAATTCTTGAGGCCTATGGGGTGCGGCTTGTTTGGAACATACTGCTTGAGTGATGTTCTTCCCGTAAAAGGGACCATCTGCTCATCGATCGAGAAACAGTTCGGCCGCAGCAGAGAGAGGATTCCATCCCGAATCATGGTCACAAATGGCTTCACTTTCCACAGCCTGTCCTCCTTCTTTACTGCATCAGGCACCTCGATCTCTGTTGTGCACGTGAGGTTAGAACGGATCCGGAAAAACCTGTCTCGGGCCATGGCGTTGATTATCAACTGCACTCCAAGTCCAGCCTTCCAGTAGTAACGAAGACGGGGGTACCCCGTTGTACTCATCAACATAGATATTCCAAAAAGATGTTGAACCTCTTGCCTTGTTACTTTTGCGATCGTCCCATTTCGCTCTAGGATCCTAATGTTAGTCTTTTCAGCCAGTGTCTCATACATGCTGGAAGCGAAGTACTGCCGAAAGTAGTCGCCAGATGTGAACGTTCCCATGCTTGGATCATGTCGGCACCCAGTCTCCAAAACTTGTAAGCCAGAGTTGGATGGGGGGCTGGCAGAAGGTTTCAAAACTTTCCTGGCAGGCGGCCGCGATTCATCTTCATCACTTGATTCGTCGGAAGACGAAGAATCTTCTCTAACTTCATTTTCTGCTGCCACAAAATCAATGTCATCGTCAGAGTCGTCAACATCAGAGCTTGTGGCACCGCACACACTGTCTAAAATGGCATCAGCCTGACTTGTTGTTAGTCCTGAAAAATATAACAGAGTCAAACAAACCAATTGTTTTCAATTCGCGAGTGTTTGACATTGATAGCGAGCAAAATATGGTCATCGCGAAAATCAAGTCACAAGTTTTGGGTCCCAGCGTCCACCCACGCGGACACACAGTTTGGAAAGGGACTACTGCAACCCATGCTAATACTGTTGTCAATATTAAGCATTATTAACCATCTCTGAACTTTCAAGAGCACTAGAAATATAAATTTACAAAGATTCCGTTTATGTAAATCATGTAAACTGATTACATACCTTGGCGTCGGCCGTAGAACGTGCGAGTGCTGCAGGTCGCCATTTGCAACTACGAGCAGCGAGTTGTTTTCAGTGCTGTTTGCTCCACACTCCACCAGATGGCAGCACAGAATATGTCCATCACGATGGACAGGAGTTCTTTCCTATGTGCGGCGCCGTTTTTTTTCAACAATTAAAAACCCAATGTCCACACTGGTGGACGCAGGGTCTCAGGAGGATAAACAACATTTTTCTCATGGCAGAATATTGTGCAGGCATCACCCACAAAGCATAGCACGTATCTCCATGTACAGCAAATCACCGTGCATTATAGTCGGCTGTCCCTTTATTTTACAACACAAACCTTTGAACGCGCTTTTACCAAACCTGAGAATTCCTTCGAAGCGTCTATAAAGACCGGCTCCGGGCAGCGTCAGACTTGGCTACTGCGCAACAGAGGCGCACAGCTCGGCACGCGGCGGCGCCAGTGCGTCTGCCGCGGCTATGACGTCGCTCCAAACAACGTTACAAAGCTACTATTCAATTAAAAGATAATAACGAAGTGTAACAAAAAATCCTTGAATGTATTGTTTTTTACGCTACCAAATGAAAGGCAACAGGCGCAGTTAGCTGCCGCGATCGTGAACAGACCATGCTAGAACCTCGTACCACTAATTTCGTCGACAAACCATGTACAATTCAATGGTCACCTGAGGTTTTTTCTTGGGAGAATGATTGCCGAGAAGGATGAGAAGGAGGCAAGCGACGCAAGAGGATGGCTTGTGACAAGCAAGTGCCTGACGGTTTGCCCCCCCCCCCCCCCCCTTTCCTTCCCCCGTTCTCCGGGACCCAGCCTCCTTCCACGCGCAGGGCAGTTTTTAATCGAGCCCTGGACTGCTGGCGCTATCTATCGAACGGTTGGTAGAAGACAACACTCGTCTTGTATTTTGGAAATTATATTCGGCAAAACATATCAAAGATTAACCATGTTGAATATACCTGAGACTGGGGTAGAAAAACATAAAAGTCGAAGAAACAGAACGGGACAGGACGACGTCTCAACGTCTCTTAACATCCACCAGCTCGCCTGCACCCTTACTATTGTATCTCATATCAAAGATGGCGCTAATAGTTCGACGATTCAGTATACGCGGCAAAATTTGAAAGTGTTCGGATACTTTGAGGGCATTTTCCCTAGACCATTTCTCAGGTGCATCGTGAAACTCGGCACATCATTTGGTAGTGAAGCCATTTAACAAACTAGGCTTCAGAGTACAAACGCAGCCGTGTCGGTTCTTAAAATAATTTTAGCCACTTGATTCAAAACTATTTTTTTTCTGAAATCGCTTGAAACGCATTTCTGGTTTTCAGAAATGTTAAAGCAGTGCCTAAAAGAGTAAATCTATATAGACAGAGCTTTTGTGAAACCGCATATCAGGAAGTCGCATTTCCGAATCCTAATTATCGCCTTTCGCTCCCACTCTTCACTAGGCAACAAAATGTCGGCACCCGGAAGGTATTCGGAGAATGGAGTGTCTCGAGGCCTATTTTGTGGCTCAAGGTCAGTCATCCCCAGACATTCTGGCTAAGGGGCTGAATCGGGGAGTGGTCGTCCTGTCTCGGGTCGGAAAACAAATAGGCAAATATATACTGTGATATTGCAAAAATAAAGAACATTCAAAATAGCCATGGAAATAGTAAATTGAAAGTCAGAGTCAACATTTATCAAACAATTCTCTAATTTGGGTGAATACATGCACTTTATTGTGAAATCATATATTAAGCTAAGTATGACGTTGCACAATAAATGGGACCCATAAAACTCGCCAAACATGAAATGAAATGAGCGCAATAAAACTGCTACACTCTAAGAGGCCAGAAGACTAATGAGAATTTCACATAAGTAGTTAGAATGGTGATGCTGGTGATGACAACTGAATTGTGAATATGGTGAGAGGACCCGCGTCACCATAGGCAGTTTTATCTCGTTCTTTCTATCATGTTGATTTGCGTGATCGGAGCGCGTTTCGGCTCCTTTTCGTTATGCGCACTTATTTTCCCCCGGTAGCAGCGGGCCTATTCCAAGCAGGTCGCTTGCTGGGCTTTAGTGGAAGAAGCATAGCAAGTCATCGGCCGGTTAGAAGACCTTGGTTCGTAAGGTATGGTTGGAAACCCCTGCTCTGGGTGAAACTAAAGCAATTTTATGAGGCACCTTTAGCTGCCAATCTAGGGGATCTAGGAGAAGATGCTGGACGCAGGGCACTATATATGCAGTGATGGAAGTGTCCGGGTTGGTCAGAGATTCAGAATGGGAGCGGAATATAGCTAACGGTACCTAGTGGCTATTTTGTGAACTTCACTCGCTTTATTCGATCGAGCATGGAAATAAATGTTTCGGGTAGGTGTACGACAACGGTAAATACAGGTAGGGATTTTTCAGTGGAGAAGATACGAGTATGAAGTCCACTAGAAGCTTCATGTGTTGAAAAGGCCTCCCGCTGGAGTGTCATCAGATGGAAGGAGATGTAGTCAACACCCAAATCAAGTCAAAACACGCTCGGTCAACCTCGGTGCGGTCAGATGTCATGAAAATTGAACCAGCTAGGTCAGTGCAGTCCCTGTAGTAACGCAACTGACGAATTGTGAAAAAGGGAGGCATGTGTTAAAGCTGTACGATACTTTAACTGCCACAACTGTCTTTCACAATGGCTCTGTAAAAAAAAAAAAAAGAAACGACGCTTCAGTTTGTCTTGGGGCTTGAGGTATTCCCTCTAAAGCCTCTTACCGCCGCAATTTTGTTGAGGGTGCGTACGCGTTCCTAACCGGACCTTCACATTTCATGGGATTGCACTATAGTGGGACAAGCTCTATGTTGCCTGAACAGTGGTTCTGCAGAGCGGTTGGCCACACAAGGTAGCATGACTAGTCTTTGAAGCGAATTTGCTTCCATAGGTTGATTAGACAAAACATTAGAATAAACTTATCCAGGAGCGCGTAGTTTTCTTTTTCTCCCGCTGAAGCTGCCTAACGATCAGATCCCACGCCTTGGCTCGTAGCGTATGATTGTGTATATGACTGAAAATGACGCGACCGTTGGCGACTCCTTCCCAGTTCTCACCGTCCTGAGACACTTCAGAATTGATGGCAACATGACCCACCTTTGCCCACAGAGCGGCATCGCCGGTCACGTAAACGTCGTCAATGCCGTGGAAAGGTAGACAGAACGAAGCACTGTACAGTCGTCGCAACACCCCACTTTTAAACAAAACACCGCGCCCGGAGCAGTAATCTGGAAACTTATCCCTGGGATACACGTCAGTAGGCATGTACCAGGGCGAGCTGGCCTGACGGAACACCGTAGCCCTGCTCCAGACGAAGCAGTGAAGTTCAAAACCAGGAGATGCTTGCAGCTTCCTGAGGTACCTCACCACCTTAACCAGGTTGGCCACCATGTCGTCATCGATCTTCACTACGTACTTCACAGAAGGGCAGAATTCGAGGGTCCACTTCATTCCGTAGACAAACTTGTACGTCAAGTTCTGGTAGGTGTCTTCATATGGCAGTACCACCACGTCGCCGTACTTGGCAGCTTCTTCTTGGACCGCCCTCCCTACGCTTTGGTTTTTAGAGATCCCCACGAAGAACACCATCGTCCAGTCGTGCGCGGATGACAGCGCCACGTTGCCGACGAACTGCCGAAGAACATTCCGGTGTACCTGGTGGCCCGCGGCGCTGTGGATGAAGAACATTGTCTCCGTCTTGTTGCGACAGCGCGATACCGTGGTATACGCATTGGACAGGTTTCCCGTCTTTTCGATGGGAAAAGGTAGCCGACCATACCCTTTAGACAGGTCATTTTCAGGATTCCATACACGCGGAATATCAGTTTTACTAGGTGTCCTTTGCTGGGGTTCGTCTAAACTCAAGGGATTACTGTAACCATCGTCCATGCAGAATGGCATCAAACGTTGCGAAAGTAATAGTTGCGTTGTGGCCCAGGGTGCTAGCACTCCAGCTTGGGACCATGGTGCGATATACAAGAGGCTAACCACAACGAAACCAGCTGTTAGAAGAAGGAACGTTTTTCGGTACTGCATCGTAACTCCTTTCTGTCAATACCTGCAAACAGAAAGAACAAGCTGTTTTCAGTAGAAACAATGGATGAGTCAGTGTTCATACGGGACTCTATTTCTGAGACAAAAGGGAGAGAGAAACTGGTTTACCGATTGGTTTACCCGATTTCAGGTATGTCTTTATCGCTAAAGGGAGCAGTGATACCTATTTAAAATATATCAAACACAACTGTTATAAACACTAATATATAAAAATAAATATTCGTCAAAACATCTCTGGAAATAAAAAGAAATCCTATCAGCATAACTGGGATATAAAAGGCGCTATAAAACACAACTGTAAAAATAAAAGCCCCATTTATCGAAAAGAAGTCTATTTAAAACATAGGTTTGAATATTTGTCAAGAAGACATGTTAAGGGAGCCTATTCCACTTTTCAATTGTTCTCGGGAAAAACAAAAAATGCATAAGCCTGTTAGGAATTGCCTAGAGAGGTACGGTCAATATATGTTTTGTGATTATGAAATATTAATATCTAAAGGAAATATATGAAATGATGCTGAAGCAATAATATCAGACAAAAAAAGCGCATGCTAATGTATTTTTAATTTTCAGATTAGTTTTCATTTTTCAAGCTTAATGGTCGTCCTCTAAATACAAATAATAGTTATGTTACTTGACAGAACTAATATGCGCTCAGACTGTTTCGCTAGAAACACTGGTAATAATATGTACCTGATCTAGCCAAATATTCTGACGGGCTACTTGCTGAACAGACAACAAAAGAAAACTCCGTCATCAACACAATATTCTACGCTGCTCACACCCCAAGAAAAAGAAAAAAGTTTGCATTCTCGTTGCGCGGAGTCGCTCTTAATATTTTACTGGTCGGAAAAAGCAAATCGATGTTTTTCGAGTACGTGCGTTTTAATGTTATAACCGATGTTATAATGTTATAATGTTAACTCAAATGAACCTTCGAGTATTTTATTCGTCACAGAAAGTAGCTAAATTTTCACGAGGAACCGAACTTTTTTCTTGGCACTCCTTGAGATAAAAACGAGTGCGAAAGGTAATTTTGTCACAGATATAGTAAGTTCCAGGTAAAGAAAATTTTTCGAGGGAAGGACTGCTGGGGAGTAGGAATCAGACAGAACGCTGGAGAGAGGAAGGGGTTTCCTACTCTCCCCTCCAGCGACTCCAGCGATCCGTTTGCTTCCTCCTCCCCAGCCCTCCTTTCCCTCGAAAACTTTTTTTAACCTGCAGCTGACTATAGCATCCGCGGGGATTAGCGAGCAAGATACGGCCGCTCACACAAGCTTTCAAGTCAAGTGAATGAGAGGGACAAAAGCGGTCGCGATATTGACGACACAAAAAAACCTACCGATAGCCTATCTCAAGAGACTAGCGGTCAGAGCGGGCATTCAAATCTAGATTGCGGCGTGCTTGCAAAGGGGCTCGAAATTTAGTTTTATTTTAAGCCTCACAGTGGTAGAAAAGACCACCGTAGGCTTTCGAGAAGCATCTCTTTCGAGCGCGCTAGTATTGTTATGCTTCATTTCACCTCAAGTCAGAGCGCAGGCTGAGGCCAATCAAGCAAAGCGCAGGCAACCTCACGGCGCTTATCGTCTTACAGTGCCCCCCGCTGGATGACTTAACCGCAGGGCAGCTGGAGCAGTGACCAAAGAATTTTAGTCTTCGTGTCCGTGCTTTTTGTGACTCATATATTCTCCGATTCGCATTAGGTTCGACAGCACCCAACGCTACAATCCGATCGAGACAATTCAAGCTGGGTGAAAAAGGAGTATCGTCATGCCACTCCGATCGTCGTTTTTTTTTTTTCACGATCATTGCTAAACCAATTGGGAACGGTGAATGTGCCGTGATCCGGTACTTTTTTTTTTCTGCGCGCGACGGGTTTAGCTAAAGCCTCATATATACTGACAAAGCCTGGCAGATCGCCACGAGAAGCGGCCACCGAAATGGAAAAGGTAGAGTGGCACACTACGGACGTAAGGAGGAGCCGCGTGACTGCAGCGCCCTACTGCGGTGAGACGCCGAAACACACTTCACCCGAGCGAACAAGTGAGTTTCGGGTGCTCGCCGCTGAAAAAGCTGTGCGCTGGTATCCAGGTTCCCCGAGAAATGGCTCTGATGCTCTGTGTCACCAGATTCTCGCTCTCCAAAACTGCGACCTAGCACCCTATGGCTCCGCCGTCAAACTGCCACGCTTTGTGAGTATAAAGGAGGTTATGGTTTAGCCTCCTCTATACTCACGTTTAGCTGTGCGATTTACTCCGTTGGATCGTGGCTCTGGCCAAAGTGGAGAGAAAGTCGCCTGCTTCTTGCGCAGGGGTTGCGGTGACGTCAGGACGACGCTGAATTCCCATTGGCTTTGATTGGAAGGATATTGGGTAGGCCTCAATGCTACATGCCTTGAGGTAGACACACTGTGTCTTTTTTCAATCAGCCAAGTCAGATCGGCGCGCTCTCCGAACCTTCGACTATAGGAGGTATTCACTGGACGCCATATTTGAGGGCGATGTTTAGAGCGCATGCTCAAAACGAGCTCACATTAATAGCCTGCTAAGACCGGCAACCTCGATGGTGCTAAATGCACGCTCCAAAAGGACTGCGGAAGCTCGCCGTCAGCACGCACTCAGCAGCAGCGCACACGGATATAGCCGCCAGCGAATGCTCCCTATAGCTGTACGTTTGACTAGAGTGCCTTCATACACACGCGCGCTTTTGCTTGAGGGGTGACATCTCAGCCATTTTTCCTAAAGCCCCTTCATGTTTCAAAAGTAGCCCAAAGTTCGTCGATGCACGAGGCACGTGCAACGTGCAGTCCTTGGGAACATCATGGCGGCACAGCGCAGAACTGAGCTAGATTTCAGACGCCATGAATTTCCGAGAAGTGGTGCGAGACACGTGTCTCGAGCATTTCTACAACATTGAATGGCGCCACTTTTCCCAGGCTAGAGGGGCTTTATTTTTCCGCCGAATCGGTTTTTATGCATTTTGAAGTGCGCGCAATCTTGTGTCACTCAGCTCGAGCGCTTAGCTTTGGCTAATGCATAGACGCCATTTTACCGCCCAAGTCACGCACCAAGTGCGCGAGAGCGTCACGCGCTGGCATATTCAGGGCAACAATGGATGTCTTCACCCTCAGACAGACATGTAGGCACCCTGCGTTTGACAAGTCTTGAGCCCCAGAAGAAGCCTCCGCCGTCTTGCCGCATACAGGGCGCCGCAACGCGTTCTTAGCACGCGCAGGATACCTTCGTTTCACCTCAAGTCCAGACACGGCCGACACTGTGTGCTTAAAGGAGTATCCACACGAAGGAGAAATCCGCTCCTTTCCTCCGCGGAGCGCGCATCACGTGAGACATACGTCATCCCTTTTCGACGCCTCGTGGCGCCGTTCTCTCGTTCTCCGTGGCGGAGGCGCGGAGGCTTCGTACTCTTATCATGAGAACTCCGCAAGTGCGCGCGGCGGAGCCGGGGACGGAGTTTCCCGGGTTGCTGACGTCACGACATCCGTCCGCGGAGTTCTCCTTCGTGTGGATACCCCTTAATGGGCACATCAGACAGCTTCAGAAGAGCACCATCGTTGTGTTCGTCGCGTTTCGGTACGTGTTTTACCGTATCACTGAAGCAATCACAAACAGGAAAGGGCCAGTGACTTGTACCTTTAATGCTGCTTGATCGGTATCATTACCTCGTAACAGCCGATTCACACGACGGACCAAATCGCGATTTTCGTCCGCGGACCGTGTACCACGTGACCGGCACGTCACCGATTCCTGCGATCCGCGCCTCCTCCGCGGAGGCGCGGACTGATAAAGTCGAGCGCCTTTTTCACTCGCGGACGTTTGGCGGCAGACTGACTTGGAAAGCATTTAGTCTGGCAACGGTTTTCTTGGTATTTTGCTTCTGTGCGTTCAAAACAAAAATGGCGCGTCGTTGCGTTTTGTGCGTTCGTTGGTTCATTTTGTCGTACGATTCTTGGTTCTACGCGTGAGAGAAACTCCAGAAACTTTGTCCGGCTGACGCGACGCAGGTTCCGGTGCTCCTCCGGGTCCATGTCAAGAAGCTCCCGTCAAAACTAGTCTAGCACGCCGCGATAATTCTTGCACGTCCAATCAGGATTTCACCGAGCAAGCCCTCTCTTGTGGATGTGGTGTGCTTGAGTGTTGTGCACGAGCGCCGAGTGTGTGAAGGCATCTCCAAACGCCCCTCCGCGAGCCCAGAACTTCGTCGCGTCTACGCCGAAGCTTTCTCGGGCAGGATCATGCCTGTGTCACTGTCATGCTTTGGGTTAGTAAAGTGGCGCTTCGCGCGAAGCCTGTCCCGGTGTTTTGTTCTCGATCTGTACGTAGCAGCGGCGTACGATTCTTTATCGCGGTAGCAACCGTCGATTTCTCTCTTGGACAACGGTGCTACTGTGCGAAGTTGGAGTTTCGCGGCACTGTGGGGTGCGAACAGGTTCGGTCCGTCCTCACTGGCGTCTGCTCGTCGTCTCCCTCGTGTGGATGCGCTTGGGAGACGGACGAACCGCGGATATGTCGTCACGTGATCAATCCGTCCGCGGATCAGTCCGTCGTGTGAATCGGCTATAAGGGGTATCCACACGAAGGAGAACTCCGCGGACGGATGTCGTGACGTCAACATCCCGGGAAACTCCGTCCCCGGCTCCGCCGCGTGCACTTGCGGAGCTTTCGTGCTGTCAGGACAAAGCCTCCGCGCCTCCGCCACGGAGGAGAACGCGCCGCGAGGTGTCAAAAAGGGATGACGTATGTCTCACGTGACGCGCGATCTGCAGAGGAAAGTGGCGGATTTCTCCTTCGTGTGGATACCACTGTAGCGTCGTCTGCGTCTGGCCTTAAGATTAAACGAAGTATAGAGGACTTTCAACAATTCGCCCTCTGGGCGCAGTCATCTTTCTCTACTGGCAGTAGAAGGTATTTTGAGCATGCATTCCACGAAATATAAGATGCCAGGGGCCCTAAACTTGTCGAACACAAAGTTGGAGCCCAAAG